AAAAAATAAAAATGAAAAAAAATAAAATAAAATGAAAAAAAGAGTGCCGTCCCATAGGACCCATTCCTGGGTCCTATGGGACGGTGGCAAATCCTTGGCGTGCAGGCCTGCACGCCGGTCTACACTCTGTAGATTGGCGTGCAGGCCCGCACGCCAATTTTCTTTGGCGTGCAGGCGTGCACGCCAATCCCCACCTGGCGTGCGGTTTGGCGTGCGTTTATCAAGCCCCTTTGATGGGGAACGGCAGAAGATGACGCATTCGAGAACATCAAGAGGATAATGACATCTCTTCCGTGTCTCAAGAATGTAGACTACGAATCGGACGACCCACTTTGGTTATTCACGGACGCTAGCGGTTCAGGTTTGGGGGCGGCGCTATTTCAAGGGAAAGATTGGAAGGGGGCATCTCCTATCGCTTATGAGTCTCATTTAATGACACCAGCAGAGCGTAATTACCCAGTACACGAACAAGAACTTCTGGCGGTGATACATGCCTTACAGAAATGGAAGATGCTACTCTTAGGAATGAAAGTTAATGTCATGACGGACCATCACTCACTGACGTATCTCCTGAAGCAACGGAACCTTAGTCGGAGGCAGGCTCGGTGGCTGGAAATCCTGTCTGATTTTGATCTGCATTTCGAATACATTAAGGGTGAAGATAACTCGGTGGCCGACGCACTCTCCAGGAAAGACGTGAGGGAAGAGGACTCGAGGGTTACACAGGACGACATTGCATGTGTAGCATCACTCACGTAATTGGGTAGTGCGTTACCAGAGGCGTTGAAGGCACGGATAATGGCAGGTTACGCTGAAGACGGCTTCTGTAAGACAGTGCGAAAAGTGCTCCCACTTCGAGAAGATTGCGCAGAAATCGACGGTCTTTTGTTCATTGACGGTTGTTTGGTGATTCCGGATGAGAAGGGACTACGCAAGAAACTGATCGAGGAAGCACATGCGCGACTAGGACACTTGGGGTACTTGAAAACGGTCATGGAATTACGCCGTGATTTTTTTTGGCCCCAAATGGCGAAACACACCGCCAATTGGATTCAGTCCTGTGATACCTGTCAGAAGACCAAAGCACCAACAACGGCTCCTACAGGAAAGATGTTGACCCCATCCTTCCCACGGACACCACTGTCAGACCTCGCCATTGATTTTGTAGGACCACTGAAGGCATCCAACCGGTACGACATGATTCTCACGTGCACCTGCCGACTTTCAGGGTTCACAAGGATTATCCCAGTACTACAGACGGACACCGCAGAGCGCTCAGCAACTCGACTCTTCAACGGTTGGCTGGCCCTGTTTGGTGCGCCCAAGTCAATCTTGAGTGACAGAGATAAAATTTGGACGTCACATTTCTGGAAAGCTCTAATGGAGAAGTTACACGTGAAATTCCACATGACATCCTCGTTTCATCCTCAAGCGGACGGCAGGAGCGAGTGGACCAATAAGACAGTGGGACAAATCCTCCGGTCTTTCACGTCAAAACGACAGGGGAAATGGTTGGAAGCACTCCCGGCAGTGGAATTCGCAATTAATTCGGCAGTCAATGTGGCGACAGGATACAGTCCCTTCGAGCTTGTGTTTGGCCGCAAACCTCGACTCTTTCCATCGGCAGATCACACAGGAGAGGCTCCCAAAAACTTGTTGGTATGGACAAAGTGGCTGGAGGGGGCCTGGCAAGACGCACGTGACGCCTTGTGGACCAGCCGAGTGAAGCAGGCTATTCAGCATAACAAACACGCCAAGGAACGCATAGCACTTGAACCGGACTCGTGGGCCCTTCTCAACTCAGCAGACTGGCGGGGACGTCAAGGTGGAACCGACAAATTGAAAGAAAGGTTTGAAGGTCCTTTTCGAGTGATCCGGGTGAGCAATCACGGTCGAAATGTTGAGCTTGAATTACCAGAAGGCGACCGTCGCCACCCGACATTCCACATTTCGAAGATCAAACCATATTATTTTCCAGCATTTGACGAGGCACTGGGGGACAAGAAGTAAGTTCCTCTCCTTTGATGCACCTCCGGGTAACTCTACATCAAGTTGGAAAACATCACCTCGGCCACCTTGTGAGCACAAACCCAATTGCGTTGCAGATTCAACTTAATCTCGGGAATCGGATACGGACATCTCATTCCTTCATCCTTTTTTCGTTTTCCCCTCTTCATCATTATCTCAACTTCATCCCTTGTTTTTTTGTTTTTCTTTTTTTTCCTTCTTTCTTCTTCCCATTTTTCTTTATTTATTATTATCATCAAATTTCATTCACTTTTATAGGGGGGGAGAATGTGAAACCTCACCATATACAGGTTTCACAAGGACTATCACGAACCATTATCATCACTACTTAAACTACAATCATCCTCCCCCTTCCTAGTTCGGTAGAGAACTCTTACATTTCATTCTACTGAACTAGGTGAGCCATTTTCATTCTTATTTCTGATCTCATTCTCTTTCTTTCTTTCTTCATCATTTTATCTGACTATATTGTACTGAGAGAACTCTTACATTTCATTCTACTGAACTAGACTATAAAAAATATAAAAGACATACCTTGGTTCTAGAAAAGTTCTCTCCCGGCTACATTGCCGGTCTTGACGCTTAAAGCTACGATAGTGAAGAGTCATGACGCGACTCTTACAATGAGGTCATGTGACCTTCAGAACTGTTGATCATGAAGTAAAAGTGGTGCTCGCAAATTTGATGGACAAGAGCCTCAATTGGTGTGCGTCCTTGAAGCTGGTCAATGCGCATCTTGCCTTGGTGATTGTAAATAGTGTTGAGGGTGGCATGCGAGGGGATTTTGGTGTCTTGAATTAAAGCCAACTTAATATTCAAGGGGGCAACACCGGCATTGGTTAATTCCGTGAACTTTTCTTTTTGGGAATCAGTCAAACGTCTATGGATTGGATGAACGTATGGATCACCCGAAGCAGGGTGGTTGTGATGAGGATTCTTGATCTTGATTCTGTAGCATCCTTGCTTCTTGTAGAAGTTTCCCAGCATTTCAAAGGGACAGCCAATCTTTTTTGATTTGCCCAACTTGTCAGGATTGGGTTCATCCGGTTGGCCAGATCGGTTGCATTTATAAGTCCCCTGATCCTCCTCATTCAAAACTGTAGTGTTGGTCTTCTTAATTGCATAACCATGCTCCAAGGCCCACCTTTGAACAGCGTCATCTAGTTCCGCGCGGGTTGCGTAAGACAACTCCGGAGGCGGCGCAAGGGAATGAGGTTCAGCTGACGGAGTGGTTTATGGAGGCAAAGTTTAAGCAGTTTGTAGAGGTGGGTTGATCTCAGAAGTCTTGTCAGAAATTGCAGCCAAAAGAAGGAGGGGGTTGATGTGGCTAAGACTTCCAGACATATTATCCAGGTGTTGTTTGAAGTTGAGTGATGATGAAGGGTTTGACAAGAAAAACAGAGATGGTGGCGGTGAAGAGGTTCAAGAAAGAATTTTTTTTGAAGGTTCAAGAGGTCTGTCAAGAAAAACAGAGACTGTGGCGGTCAAGAATATCAAGAAAGAAGATTACTAGTGTTTTGATTAAAGAAAATGGTTGAGAAACGGATGAGTTATTCAGAGTTGAAGTTTAAGACCTACTAGAGTTCCAGCGATGATTTTAAAAACAACGAGAGGTCCAACGGCAAAAACGGAGACAATGGCGGTCAAGAGGATCAAGAGAGAAGATGATTGATGGTTTTCTTGAAGAATTTGGTTGAGAAACGCCTGAGTTATTCAGAGTTGAAGATTAAGTCCTACTAGAGTTCCAGCAATGATTTTAAAAAAAGAGAGGTCCAGCGGAAAAAAAGGAGATGGTGGCGGGCAAGAGGATCAATAGAGAAGATGATTGGTGGTTTTCTTGAAGAATTTGGTTGAGGATTGGCTGAGTTATTCAGAGTTGAAGATTAAGTCCTACTAGAGTTCCAGCAATGGTTTTAAAAACAACGAGAGGTCCAACAGCAAAAAAGGAGACGGTGGCGGTCAAGAAGATCAAGAGAAAAGATGATTGATGGTTTTCTTGAAGAATTTGGTTGAGAAACGCCTGAGTTATTCAGAGTTGAAGTTTGAGGCCTAACAATGAATTTAAAAAGAGAACAGAGATGTATCAGCAAAATTGAAGACCGTGGCGCTGAAGAGGATGGAAAAAGGATACTTTTGGTATTTTTTTTGTGAATCTTGGTTGAGAAATGGCCAAGTTGTGATTTTTTGAAGTTTAGAGTGTACCTGCCAGTTGGGAATGAACCGGGGTGAATCAAAAAAAATCCGAGTGTGTGGCGTCGAAGAGGCAAAAAAAAGAATGATTCTGGTATTTTTTTTGTCGATTTTGGTTGAGTTTTGACTGAGTTGTGGTGTGTTGAAGGTTTAGAGGGGGGGTGATCTCCTTTTTTGATTGTGGTGAGTGGTTTTCTTGTTTGGTGCCTGCAGGAAAATTTTCGAAGTTCATGCAGGCGCTTGTGGTACCCGCGCGCGTCACCTGGAGGCAAATTTATGCATAAAATATGCATAATTAATAAAACCGCGTGTGCTGCGGCGCATCAAAACCACGTCAAAATGCGGAAAAACCGTCTTTTTATTAAGGCCCAAAATAAAAAGTATTTTTTTTTCCAAAAGCTCTGATATTCATTGCGGGGGAGTGGGAGGGCTGGAAGAAAGAAAGAATGGAACATGGGAAGAATGATTATAATTATGAAAATTTTTTAACAATGGTCACCAGGTGGTTTCAAACAACTGTTGAGTAGCACATTCACCGGCACATGTTGTGGAAAACCACTAGAATTTACTGTTTTGACTCCTATCTGAACAACCAACCTGGCTCAACCTTTTTTGGTTCCATTTTTTCATTTATAATCATTCTTGCCATGTTCCACTCTTTCTTTCTCTCAGCACTCCCACTCCCCCAAAATCAATAACAAAGCTTTTGGGAAAACCCATTTTTATTTTTTATTTTTCACAAATTTTGAAACTTTTTTTTTTGTTTTTATTTCTTCATATTCATTCTTTGGGACCTATCCTGCACCAATTCACCAAGTCTTGTGACTTGAAGTTTGTGCTTTGAAGCTATAGAATCCAAAACAAGCAACCAAAAATCACGGTCCACCCACTGTACAGCGGCAGGCCAAGAGGGATTCCTCTTGGTTGGAGAGTGTAAGCCTCTTGGCCTGCTGAGAGTGTACAGCTCTCAGCAACCAAGAGGGATTCTCAAATCTCTCCAGGCTGCTGAGAGTATACAGCTCTCAGCGGGCAAGAGGGATTGCTCTGGGTTGCTGAGGGCTTTCTGGAGCCGGCCAACTCCCAACTCCCCTGGGGTGTTAAGAGTATCCACTCCCAAGAACCCCTTGGGGAATCAAATTTTTTCTTATTTTTTTCTGAGGTCCAACTTCTAAGCAAGTCAGACCTTTTGGAGGTCCAACTTCCAAAAAACTGGGGGACAAAAGGGGGTCAGGACATCCTGGACCCCGTCGACAGGCGGCCCTTGAGACGTCCCAAAAATTTGGAAGTTGGTTGACTAAGACCCCTGTGAATCAAAATGCAGCCCGGAACATGAAGAAATAGAGCCCGTGGGCCCCCGTAAGGCTGCCCGCAGGCAACCCGCTACAGCTAGATTGGTGGCCCGGCGGGGTGCCTATGGATAGCCCGTGTCTGTCATACTGCGGACACATACTTGGACCGGACAGCAGATTTGAGGATTCTAGCCTGGCATGGCCTGTCCACAAATCAAGCGGGGTTGTCCGCCCAATTATCATCCTACAAGTCTATGACTCTTCTTGCCCCATGAAACCAAACAAGGAGCTCTGCAATCAAGAATACAGCAAAATCGGTTCAATAATGGGTCTGGATTTGTCAAAAAGCCAGCTCTCGCCCAGAAAGAGATCTAGGAATTACACATTTAGTAGAACAATCCATAAGATCAAAAAGATCATGTGAGAATTTTTTTTTTGATTTAGCTGCCAGCTATGAGGTCTATGATAAGTTTTGTGGAAATTAAGATGGTCCATGTGCACCTTCAAAAAAAAAAAAAGTTTGCTTGTCTATCCCTACTGAGCGCCTGGGAAGTTTAGCTTGACTCTTTGAGTTCCTGAAGGGATGGTGCTCCGCCTGAAGCCTGTTCTTGTTTCTGTTTCTCTGAAGTTGGCAGACTGGAGTCGGCATACGGCTGAAGACTTGTATCAAACCCGCCCAGGAAGCTGACGACCTCTGCAAGTTGTGGTATAGGACTTTGGATAGACGTCAGGATGGATCTGACTTAACTAAGCCTCCCGGAACGGGGGTGCAGAGCACCCCGATGCGGAGCATCTCCCATTCCCAATGGGAGGCTTATGAGCTATCGCTGCTTGGCATCGTGAGGTCTTCGAAAATTTTGTGGCTTTTGTCACCAAAATTCATGGAACACAACATTGCTCATCACTCACACATCATGAGACTTTGTCATCAAGACAGGGAGATGGGTGAGCATCATGTCTTCAATGTGCCTTGAAAAGAATGAGGATTACACATGATCCCGAGCTTCCTCCTGGCTCAGCAGTTCCAGAGGCCCTTTGATTAGAAGTATGGGATATGCTCTTGATCTTGATACACATTGGCTGTATCAAAAGCCTTGGCCGCCACATTTGGTCCCATCTTGATAATCTGTAAGTGCTGAGGGGGTGGTGACCAAATACTTGAAGAATTTTTAAGTCGGACATCCTTTGTGGTCGTAGTCGCTTTTGACCTTACGGCTTGCCAATTTCACCGACTCATTTGGATCTACTCGTCAGAAACATCTCAGCAACATCTCGGCCTCCGTGGTAGCCTTGACCGAGACCAGTGTTGAATCAACAGCCGACTCTGCCCAATAGCGCCGTCGGTAGGCTAAATCCAAGTTGTCAGATTGTAAGAAGTGCAGCAAGAATGACTTTGGTGTCATCTTGCAAGGTAACGATTGGAGCAATTCACAAACCGTGATCGCTTTGGCCTCCATAGTATGAGAGCTCAGTAGTGCCGGGAATTCAGCTGTTGACATAGGCAATGGGACAAATGGGATGATCTACATGCTTATTGAGGCATGAAATCAATCATCCCAAGCGATTCAAACAACGCTTACGGATTATCTAACAGAATCTCTAACCTTTCCTCATTTTAATGTGTATGTACTATGTTTCATCATACAGTTTCATACAAAAGATGGTGTGGTGTTCGTTGGAATACGTTTCAGAAATACAGAATTGGATGGAGGTCAAACCAACCTCAATCCTAAACTTCATGGCCAAATGACGGGGGGATGCGACAAGCAGTCAACTTGTGTTGACCATGGAAAGAACCGGAAAAATTCCCTCTTCATTCTAGTCCTGAGGGCAGAAACCCAGTGTCTGAGGAAGACAGTTGAATCACAGGGGGGAAAGTGCTACCACTGAAAATGGCTAAAGCCCCCAGGCCAAATGTGACACATGACCTGCAAGTCCCTCCTTCGGAGGCTCGCTTCGCGAGGGGCGCTTTGCGCCAGCCTGGCTTTACCAGGCCCTCCGATCGAGGGGCTTGTGTTAAGTCAGGGATGGATCAGCTTTTCTTCTCACAGTCACAGGCTCACGGTTCACCGCCCATCTGTTCTGCCGGCTTGATCAGTGGTCTGCGAGGAAGTTGTCCCGGTCGCTCGGCACTCGGCAGGACTCGGCAAGGCAAAAATTGCATGCAGTTCCATTGCCAAGGTCCAAAACATAGCCCACTCCACCACAGGGAGGGACTTGCACCCTGCTGTGCAGTTCGGTGGTAATGATCGGCTGATTCAGCCCAAGCATTCGAATGACCTTTACGTTATGACGTCATTCACAATTTACCACCAAAATCCAAATTAATTGGTTGGTTGCTGTTGGTTGGCCGGATATAGATATCCTATCTTTGGTCACTACATACTCGTGTTGACCATTGATATTCGCATTCTTCGAATTTACCATCCAAACTGTTCCCTTCATCACAGACCAACTCGTTCAACATAAGAACTAAAGTCAATTCAAGGATTCGAAATGTCATCAAAAGACCTTTCAACCGATGGAGGGCTTTCTAAACTTAGCGTCTCCCATCGCTCGAGTTTTACTCCTAACACTAGTGTTGTCATCAACTTCCCAGCCGAAAACCGTCACCAAACGGCAAACCTAATTGCGGACCTTTTATCGGTGAATAACGAGAATTGATGCTACATATCCATGTTGATATATTTAGAACTAATGCTCTGGGTGTGCTCCTGCGTTTACAGGACAACCATGTCAAGTATCATTGTTTCTTTAACGAAAAACGATTCCACAAGTTCGTATTTGGACCCTCATCATTGGGAAAATTAGCCAATTAACTAATGCACTTGGTGTTTCCATGCACGTTTTGATCATAGTCACATAGTGCATCACATTTTAGCGTTGTATTCGTTAGGTGCTGATGGAAAGGCCATCCAAGTCTGTCATATTTTGTTTTCGGTATCTTTTCTTGAGTGGGTATGTTCAGCCTAACCCGATCAAATATACGACTATGACAGGCTTCATATGATCGCGAAGCTCCAACCCAAGTCTGTTATTTCCTTTTTGAATCGAGCATTGAAGCTCTGATCATGTTCTGACGATGAGTTTCGATTGCTATCAGAAACCGATTGGCGGTGTCGATAACGAAAATATCACTGCCAAGAACTGGACCTCGTTTCTTGGTCAAGCAGAGTTTGTCTAAAATCTGAATATCGGGTTCCTCCAAAAAAAAACCCCGAAAACCAGCTCTGATGGTTTTCATTTGTTTTGTAAAAAAACAGGTGTTACAAAAATTATTTGGATTTTTTTTGGGAGGAAGTCAAAAAGAAAGGCGCAGTTGAGGCTGTCCAGGAGTACATTTTTGGCAACCCGGAAAGTCAAATGTTGAATCGGTAAGTAAATTTTTGTTTCAAAGTAAAAGAAAACAAAAAGGATCCTGAACGAATCAGACCCTGACAAAGCTCGATTTTTTCACAGAACGTTCTCAGGTGTTCTTCACCCCCGTAAGTGGTTTTTGAGTACCGCTTTTCTTCAAAATAAATGGCACTGATCAACCACTTACACCGCCTTGCCGGGAGTCTAGTCATTCATGTGAGTCATGACTTCACATCACCCCGAAGTTTATTTCAATCGGTCAAGACGTACCTCCGTTAACATGGTCTTCAATTTGTTAGTGGGGATATGGTCTTGAATTCAAGATAGATGCGATAGTGGCCGAAGGTGAATAGTTGTTCATGTCTGGCTAGATCTTGAAATGTAGCACTTACGTGACTTGGAACAAATAGGTCTGGCTATCACTGCTGTCCACGGGGCCAACCTTTCCAATCTGAAATTATCCGAATTATTGACAAAACGTGTGACGAACGGGGCTTCCAAGGGAGATACGAGTAATGGCCACCAAAAAGAAATCGCGCCATCTTTTGATTTCCGATGTGAAGAAACCAACAAGACCTTTAAGCCTAAAACAGGCTTATCTGCGTTTCAGGTAGCACCATTTATCCTTATCTTGATCATTGACGACGGACCCGAGCTTACAATGTTTTCGGCTGTGTAGATCCTCCACAAGATATCTCAAGAAACCGAATTACCAGACCCAAGCTTTCAGACTTACAATACAAGGGAACAATTTTCGATGGCGGCTGAACATCCAGCCTTGGTTCCGTGGTTGGACAAATGGGAAATTGAAGATGATTGTGATTGGAAAGAAATACTTGAAAGAACTAAAGAGGTTCAAACATACTTTCTACATACTTTTTTTTATTACATTAACCGAACGATTTCCTTTTTTTTTCTTGGTCCTAGCTCATATGGATGGTCGCTGTAATCTATACGACTAGCTATGATAAAGAAAAAGGGAAATTTGCATTGAACTTTTTTCTGTGAGTCTTCTGATACCTCGTTTTCTTTTTTCCTTTCGCACCAGCTTTGTAGCCGCCGAGTTTATATTGACAAATTTTTATGGTCCTGTGCAATTGAGCGGAATAGCATGCATTTGGTCACCTCGTCGCTCTTCTTACCGGCCATATTACCTTACCTAGACCAACGACTGCGCCCCACATTGCTCAAGGCTTTCTTCAAGGTGAGTATTTTTTTGTGGCGATCGAGGGGGATATGTGTATGAAGAGAGAATGAAGCATGCTGAGGGCTTCGCTTCAAACACAAACTCTCTCTCCATGTACCAAGACGGCTATTTGTATATGGGTGGGTCAGGGACGATTTGAATTACGAATTTCGGAATGCTTGAAAGAACCGTCCTTTATCCAAGTGCCCGATTCTCAAAATCCTGGAGAATCTGAAAATCCATGGTATAAAGTGTTGGAGAGCGCCGCTAAGCATCCCGATGAACATACCACCAAGGTTTGCCTTGAACTTTACCGGGATTCCTGGCTTTATATTTCTCGAGGGCAGACCAGATCTGACTCGAAAACGGTCACTTTTCTAGATCATCCGAGCCTTATATTTTAATGCAAACACGTATGGAAGCAGTCAACCGGGATATTATTCCTGCGATTTGAAAGGCTCTGAATTACTAGACTCGACTCTCTTTCTTAGGGTAAGTTTTGTTTTTTCCTATCGCGTCCTTTCAACATAATGAATCCACTTTTGGTTGACTTGAAACTCTATGCTCGATATACCTAGGCTTCCATAATGACTCTTAACAAATTGGAGTGGTCTGGAGAAGGAGCGATGGACTTCAAATGGTACTGATTAAAGAAAATCAAAAGAACTCGTTAGGGATTATAATTATTATACATAATTTACAAAGCAAACTTTATCTCCCTAGGTTGCTTGGTTCACAAGTACCTGCTAGCCTGTTTCCTGTGTACCTTTAGTATGTAGTAAAACTAATTAACCCTAAAAAACGATGATCCAGAAAGACTCACAAGTATTGGTGGTCGATTGATCTGCCAGCAATGCCCAAAGCCTTTGTTTTTTTTGTTGCACTACAATGTCATTTGTGCCTGTGATCCTTCCTCTGGTGACCCATGAACTGCCAGTAGGCTCCAAATCATCACTTGTCCTATTTTGCCTTAGATTGTATGTAGTGTCTATAGTTGTGCCAGTTTCACATCAGCACATACATCTTGAGAGTGACCTGAGGATCATAGCACATTATTCACCATTTGTTTGTTATCATTGGCACTTATCGGGAAAAGATACCTTATTGACCGACTTAATCAAGCCAGAATCCGTTCTTTTCTTCTTCCGATCCATGAGAGAAAACGAAACACTTGGACTGGGTATTACATATTGGACACCGAACACACATCCTCTTGAGATGTATGCGGGGGGAGATCTTTTTGTGGCCTGCATGGAGTCATAAATTAAAATCACAGTGCTTGCAACGGCTCGATTAATCAGGTCAAGGAAATGGCTTGATCAAAGGCCCGAGTTGACTCTGATCTTTTGTAGATCAGGAATCAAACCAATCCCGAATCCGACCCGTTTTCGATCACATGAATTTTTTATTTCACGCTTCTTTGGAAGTTTTGTATGTATCGTTCACACTTTTTTTTTGTTTTTTTAAATTAAAACTCTTCTCTGGTGGGAGAGTTCATCATATGAAATGATGCTCAAAAAAAAAGAGTTATGTATTTACATAAGTTCCCAGCCAAGAGAAAAAAAAAGATATATTTAGTTGGTCGATTAAAATTCATACAACTCCGTTGATCATCATAAGGAAAAAAAAAGAAAACAGAAACCACGATTGGTGTCTATAGTTTGCGAGAACCGACGACTACCCACACTTCTTCATTCCCTATTCTCATAAACAAACAACTTTCGACGGTCAAAGAACAGAGAAGATAACCAAACAAGAACATCATCAAGAGTGGAAGAAGAAGAAGAAGAATGAGACGAATATTAGGACAACATCACCGAAGCCTAGCGATACTAATGACGATCTGGAGTCTCGGATGGATCACGCTCGAGCTGATAGGACCGGGAAGAGGATGGGAGAGTAGCCGCGGGGGCCGAAGAGGGATGTCAGCGGGGGCGCAGATGAGCATGAGTCTTTGGCGACGGTATCCGGGGACGCCTCAGTCCTCATCGACGGTCGGACTAGAATGGAGCCGTCTGGATAAGAAGAAGAAGAATAAAGAAGGAGGAGGGGGGAGGAGAGGGATCGGAGTGCGGCCTCGGCCGACGGACTATCCCGCCCCGTCGACCATCGGCCCTCCTCCCAAACGGCCCTGGCTCCAACGGCTGCTCTATGTCCATCGGCACGCCGCCCCGGAAATCCAACTCGCGCTCGCCATCCCGCCCGCCTCCCTCCAAGCCGACGGCTACGTCCTCTATCCGCCCGCCGTATCCGCCGACGCTTCCGGCGCTTGTAGTTGGGAAAACTCCGGCTGTCTGCGCACTCCCCAATTCGGCTTCTCTACCGATCTCGATATCCTCGATCCTGATCTCAGCTCTTGGGTCGTGAACTTTGATGATGGGTAGCTGAGCTACTTCTTCCTCTCTTCCTCGTCTTTCTCTCTGGCTCTTGTAGCTTCTGATCTGACCTCTGTGCTTGTTTCTGATGAAGTCCTTTGCCTCCTTCGGAGAACCTCTATAAGATCATGGACGACTTCAATATCAAGGCTACTCATTTCTGGGTCCGTCCGTCCATCTTCCCTCTGATCTTCCTTTTTTTGGCTCTATTTGTTTTTTGTTTACTGATTTTTCATCATCCTATTTTCTGTTTATCTGAATTAAACCAAAAAAGATTGGAGGGAATGTATTGAAGTATTGGGAGCTAGCAGTGGTAGCCGATCGAAGGGGGGATCACTTAGCAGTGCACACCTGGTAATCCTACAGATCCAGCTTTCAACACAATTTTTTGTTTTTGATATGAATACTAAAAAAACCAAATGGATGAATTTTATGAAAGGTCGCATTCGCATCTGACGACGATGACGAATGAGCAGATCCTGGGCGAGCTGGGCTGGACGATCCAGATCATCTCGGACTTGACCGGCAAGGTGCCCCGGTTCTTCCGGCCGCCCTATGGCAACATCGATAACCGGGTCCGGGCGATAGCTAAGGTACATCACCATCCAGCCCATTTTCTACAGTGAGAGCACTTTGATTCTAAATACATAATCCATCAAACCCACCACAAAGTAGTCAAGGCGAGAATTTTCTCAGTTCTTTTCTTTCTTTCTTTCTTTTTTTTTTTGTTTGTACAAAAAATCGATAAATATGTGTGTGTGTGTGTGTGGATGAGTTTTATGTAGTATGTGTTTGGATTAGAGACGGTGATCTGGAACTATGATTCGGTAGATTGGGGGTTGAACCAGACGTATGCGACGGGGGACCAAGTGGATGTTCCGGACCCGAGCAGTGCGCCGTCGTTGGACCAGGTGGTCGAGTCAGTCGAGCGCTTCGCCATCCAGACCCAGGCCGGCTTGATCCTCCAACACGAACTCAGCCGAGAGGCCGTCGAGGCCTTCAGACGCTCCTGGGCCACTGTCAGTCAACAGAACTTTCGCGCCTTTGGTCCTTTGCCTGTTTGCTTGGATGCCGGGGAATCGGAGTGGTATCAGTAGTTTAATATTATTATTATTATTATTATTATTTTGATCTGTTACATACAATAGAAGTTTTTTTTTTTTTTTTTTTTTTTTTGGCTGAGTTCTTTTATTGAAGTGATGATTATATCGTTGTTGGAGTCAGAGTGTGATGTGTTATGTTATAGAGAGTGATGATGATGATGTCATGTTGTAGTACGGCTCTGATCTTTTTTTCAGTCATGGCTAGTTGTCTTCTGTCAGCCAAAAAAAACACTCTCAAACCAAATTATAGAAAATGGCTGAACAGCAAACCCAACAGCCGATCAGGAGGAGGAGACAGTCCAGCCTACTCAACACCAGCACCAACAACCACCAAAACCAAAACCAAAACCAAAACCAACCAACAACCAACTCAAACACAATCATAATAATGAGTCAACAGCAGCTACTCGTCAACTACCTCAAATCAAAACTACCAGCACTCATCAGCCTCGCCATCGGAATCATCGTCGGCCTACTCTTCGCACTCATCCTATCATCAAACACCAGCAACCCATCCAGAGTCAGTACTACTACTACTACATCAAACATAGTAACCAAACTAACACAAAAAAAAAAAAACCATAAACAGAAATCTTCCGAATGGAGAGGCGGCACAACCGTACCCACCTGGACTCACTCCAGGACCGCCTCAACCAAATTCAGCGTCCCCATCCCCACCCTCGACCAACGCTTCAGAGTATTCAATCTACTCTCAACCCTCACCGGCCACCACACCCAATCATGCACAAAGTCATCCCAGAAACCATACAGGCGTCAGGTCTATGAGAGGTACGAACCCCTCCTAGGCTACGATCCTACTAGCAGCTCTCGAGCCAAGAGTAAGGCTGCCGGAACCCTCCATCTCTTCAAACATCTCGTCCCCGGATCCCCCGACCCTGATCAGGACTTCACCGGGATCATCGACTTCAAAGGCCACTCCAAACTCAACCTCAACAACCGTCGATCATCCTCTTCCTCCACCGGATCAGACTCAAAACAAGGCGACTCATCATCCTCAACATCCGGTCGATCGAAAGCAGTCCGCCGAAAAGGCACCGGGCACAAATACTTTTTCGCGATCAATCTCTACAACTCCTTCGACGTCATCCCCGACCTGTTTTCGACCATGTTCAAAGTCTCTGCCATCCTGGGCTTCCAGAACGTGTTTGTGTCGGTGTACGAGAACGGCTCGTCGGACCAGACCAAGGCGCTCTTGCGACTCTTCGACGGCCTCAGTCGCTCCGTCGGCATCCGCGTCGTCATCCGCACCTCCCTTCGTACCAGAGGCGCCTTCCATCATCGGATCGAATATCTCGCTGAGGTCAGAAACGCCGCCCTTGCTCCCCTCCAAGAGCTTAGAGACTCCGAAGGCGAATTGTTCGATACCGTCATCTTCATGAAGTAGGTCCTATCCCGTTTCCCTCTCTCTCTTTCTCTCTCTCTCTGTTGCTTGCTTCACTGAGACTTTCTTCTTTTAAAGTGATGTCTTGCCTTGTACAGATGATCTGCTCGAATTGATCTGGCAGAGTCGAAGACAAAATGCCGGGATCACTTGCGGGGCTGATTACATCTTCCATGAAGAGATTGCCCAACCGGTATTCTATGACAGTAAGTTTGAGGGAGAACTAGAACAAGACAAAGAACGAAAAAAAAGGGTGGGAAAGAAGTGAATGACGAAAGGAAATGATGAACTATAGATTGGGTAGCGCGAGACATCAACGGGACGGCGCTCGAGAATGCGCCGTTCGAGTCGATCTTCCGGGACCCGCCCTCGCAACACAAGTTCGAGCGCCATCTGCCGATCCAAGTGCAATCGTGCTGGAACGGGATCGCCATCCTCGACCCGGCCCCCTTGTATGCCCATCCAAGGGTCCGGTTCAGGATGGCCCGATTGGCCGAGGGCGAGTGTAGCGCCTCGGAATGCTCGCTGATTTGTAACGATTATTGGAATGCTGGGTATGGCCGAATCGTGATGGTTCCCAGGGTCAAATTAGCCTACGATAATGTATAATCTCTCTCTCTTTTCTCTCTTTTTCTCTTTTTTTTTTTCTCTCTTTGATCTTGATCTTGATCGTGAGAGTTGATTTGATTTGATTTTGTAGAGGGTTTGGCAAATCATCCATCCGGAACGCAAGAACTTGACGGTCATCCGAGGATACACACGGTTGGGCGGGACGCCGGATGATCCGACGGCGGATCCGCAAGACCGGGCCTGGTTCGGCCCGCATGACCGTCTCTTCAGGCTGGAGGAAAGCGAGGAGATCGAGATGAAACCGGAGCCCTCTTACGGTACTTTTTCTTCCCTCCTCTCCCCTTATTGTCTTTCATAAACAGACAGACTGTCAGATGTTGATTTTGATTGATTGATTGGTGGTGGGCAGTTTGGTGTTGGGGTTGGGACGGCGCTGGCGACCTCGATGGGCCCGACGTGGACCCGATCTGGGAACCTACTAAAAACCTCACGTTTGATCCGAGAGTGATTCGTCATGATCGCGGATTCGACTTCAATTTCTGAACTTCCTAATCTTTCATAAAAAACAGAAAAAAAAGTTGGCAGACTGTTGATGCAGGTTTTTGGTTTGTAATAAGATTGATTGACTAGTTTAACGCATTTTCAAAAGTATTTATACATAAAATATAATCGGTGTGTGTGTGTGTGTGGGTTTTGTGTGTAGTGTCATTATCATTATCATTATTTGTTTTGTTTTGTTTTGTTTTGTTTTGTTTAGATTGTTTCCTTATTTAGATTCAACAAATAAATAGAGTCATAGATATGTTTAATTAAAACAAATCAATGTGTTGCACAGTTGCCCCGACGGGCAGGATTTATGTAGTTCATCTGCATCTTCTGTTCCCCCGGTTGAATTGGGCCACCATTTCTTTGCTCTGGATCACAACACAGCTTGGTCCAGGGACGAACGGTAAGTGTTCAATAGGACGGTTCACGTCTGAACTTTGAGGCAAATTTAATGACATTTATCATTAAAATTTTACAATCTTGTCAGAAATCTCAAATTCCTCTGAACCTGATGTTTCATGAAATTTTATCTTCAAGTGCGTTAAAAGTGGCCTTAAACTCCAGACGTGAACTGGCCTAACACCCCAGACTCAGCTAGCTTGCCCAGCCTCTCTGTCAAACACACAAAGTGCAGGAGAGGCTTGTGCCAAAAACAAACACACCTGCGTGTTGCTTTCCAGTTTTGAGAGTGTTTTTTTTTTTGTGCGGAAAATTCTATAAATAAATCACTTTCTTAACTTTCATAGAGGAAAAATATCACACAATGTATCCCAGATGCTAAAGTAAATTTCCATCAAGAAAATTACCCCCCAGAAACATGATATGTACAACTACATTCTAGGGAAGCTTTGTAAATGTCCAAGAATCCGCTCAAATTTGTGTTTTTTTTGCTTATGTAATAGCTAATTCTCAAGGCTTGGAGCTCAACTTTAATTCTGATTTATTTCAAAAAAATCTTACTCATCTGCAGGTTTTCATACAAAATCTCTAAAACTTAGATGAGGAGAACCGCAACATGGTCAACTTTGAGCATGCTGACTCTGCCCTCAAACAACCCCAAAGTACATACATGCATGGTGGGCAATCCGAAATTGCCTACACCAAAACATGTTGATAGCAACACACGAGCTTGTGCGTATATTTTGTCACAAGTCCTGCCTTTGGAGGCTCGCTTTGTGAGTGGCACCAGCCAGCCCAGGTCACAAGGCCCGCAGAAGCCCGGGACTTGTTCCAAGTTAGCAGACTCAGCTGCATCCTGACCGTTCCACCACCCCCAACCTCGATTGCAAGGCACCCACACAGTACCTTCACACCAGTACCAGCCCTTTTCCGTCCTCCACACCCCAATTTCACCAAACTCCGCATCCGGTCATAAATCAGCCACCACAACAATTACCGTATCTGCTCATCTGGACCTTGCTCCCAATACCCGCCCCCAGTACCTCCACACCAGTACCGGTCTTTTTCTGTCCTCCAGGCTCTGATTGCCCCATCTGGTTATAACTCCTCCACTACAACAATTTTACTTAACTCAGCGTTCTAATAACCGGAGTTGATGGGACCAGTCCCAGGTGCTGGATATGGTGCACCGTTTGAGGAGCCCGAGGTGCTCATTTGATCAGCCATTTACCGGTAGCACAGGGTCAGAGTATTTAGACTGTTCAGTTTACCTCAAGTTGCGGGGTCCAGGCAGCATTAATGGAGCAGGAAACAAATCAATCCATTCATATTCAAAACAAAGAAATCCTTAAAATACTAGAATAGAGTATCAGCAGGGAGACTTGACCAATTTCATTGGCTGGAACAGGACAAGATTGGTGATAGGAACCAGGGGAATCATTGGGGGTTTTGTTTTGTTTTGAGTTAGTTCATGTCAGTTACAAAGTCTGAATTAGAACCCCCCCCCCCTTTGTTGGTTGATGGAAACCGCTGGTTGCAAAGTACAGGAGTGCAGCAAAGCCGCGGGTTTCCTAGTATGTATCTGTATGTGTGTGAAAAGGGGAGAATTTGGGAAAGCAGGAGGATAAATGAAAAAAGATGGTACAGTGGGTAGACAGTGAAAAGTGGCTGCTTATTTTGGATTCAAGAGCTCCGAAACACAGACTTGAAGTCATCAGACTTGGTCAGGTGGTGCATAATAGGCTCTAAAAAATGAATATGAAAAAATAAAAACAAAAAAACAAGGGTCTTAGTTAATCGACTCCCAGAAATTGGAGTTCCGACTCCCAAATTTCTGGGATGTCGAGAGGACCGTCTGCTGACAGTCCTCAGGACGTCCAACCCCGAAATTGGGAGTCGGAACTCCAAAACCTTCAAAAGGTTTGGGAGTCGTTCCCCTAACAAAAAAATAATAAAATTAAATAAAAAATAAAAAGTAAAAATAAAAAAAATGAAACAACTATACGAATGGTCTCAACGGCCGAGAGGAATACCTCTCGGCCGCTGAGAGTGTACAACTCTCGCCGGCCGAGAGGGATCTCTCGGCTGCTGAGAGTGTACACTCTCTGCGACCAAGAGGAATCCCTCTCGGCCTCCGAGAGTCGTACACTCTCAGCAGCCGAGAGGGCAGCCGAGAGGGATTCCTCTTGGCTGCAGAGAGTTGTACACTCTCAGCAGCCGAGAAATCCCTCTCGGCTGCTGAGAGTGAATGCTCTCAACGGCCGAGAGATCCCTCTCGGCCGGCGAGAGTTGTACACTCTCAGCGGCTGAGAGTAGGGTTGACGGCGCCACCCCTAGGTGCGCGCCGATGTGCGGGCGCCTCACACCCTCGCCCAAGGCGCGCACATTTTTCCAGAAAAGGGGGGTGTGCGCGCACTTCTAACCCTAATTTTTAGAGGGGGAGGGCTGGAGGTCGAGTGACTTTCCCAGTTTGAAAGGGCAACCCTGAAAGCTCCTTAAGCTATGCCATTGCTTTGCTACTCTCTCTGACAGGCTGACAGCTGAGTTCTGAGTCTCTATGTAGCTTTTTTGACACATATGAGTGCGGAAAAAAGTCTTAAAGGCTTTAGGGTTGTATTCAGATGGGTACTGCCAATTCCAAATCCAACTCTCATTAAACCTGCAACTTGTTATACAATAAGAGACGACTCCGGAGTCCGAATATGAAAACATGAAGGCTTACGACAGCTTTATCAATCCTTCCAAGCTCGACAACTTTGAAGAGGGGATATTTTCACACAATCAAGATCTTGATGCTCCTCTCACCTCAAGAGAGGATGCCTTTGCCAACGTCCTGTTCAACTTTGACCTATGGGAGTTGGATGCTCAGAAATTCATCGATATGAGCAACAAAATCAAAATCGTCGATGTTGAAAATGACCCCGAGGAAACCAACTGGGATCCACAAGATCTGTGACTTCTCAGTTGTTTCACTCTGTTGTATTTCCCTCTTCAATCTTCACTTGTAAATAGCCTAACAACAATCAAAATACAACAGGATACAACCTATATATTCTTTTCATATAAAAAAAAACCTCGCCTAGGCTCGCCGCTACTGCGCCTGCCAAAGGCGCGCACTTGGTGGTAGGCTTGTAGGCGCCCACTGGCGCGCACATTTTCAAATGTGGCGCCGTCAAACCTAGCTGAGAGGGATTGTTCTCGGTCGCAGAGAGTGTACACTCTCAGCAGCCGAGAGATCCCTCTCGGCCGTTGAGAGTCGTGCACTCTCAGCAGCCGAGAGGAATACCTCTCGGCCGTTGAGAGCATACACTCTCAGCGGCCGAGAGGAATCCCTCTCGGCCGTTGAGGGCATCTTCCCGGCGCCGACTCCCAACCCCCCTGGGGTTTGTGGCGGATCGACTCCCAAAAACCCCCGGGGGGTTTTTATTTTTTTCATTTTTCTTATTTTTTTTATATTTTTTTTATAAGGGGAACGACTCCCAAAACCTTTGAAGGTTTTGGAGGTCCGACTCCCATGGACGTCCGGAGGAGCGTCCACAGATGTTCCTCTAGACGTCCCAGAAATTTGGGAGTCGGGACTCCAATTTCTGGGAGTCGATTAACTAAGACCCAAAAACAAAGTTTCAAAATTTGTGAAAAATAAAAAATGAAATTTATTTTGGGACTTGGTCAACCGACTCCCAAAAATTGGAGAGTCGACTCCCAAACCCGGGTTTCCCCAAAATTTGGGAGTCGATTCCCCAAATCCATCCGTGGGTTTGGGAGTCGGCCTCCCAAAAAAATTTAAATAAAAAAAGAAAAACCCCTGAGGGGTTGGGTGTTGATGCCCCAAAACCAAGTGGTTTTGGGGGGTCGGTGAGCAAAAAAAAGAAAAAAAACAGCCGCCGGGAGGATTCCTCCCAGCCTTGGAGAGTGCTCTCTCAACGGCCGAGGGAGTTTCTCTCAGCCGTTGAGGGTCTACAACCTCAACGGCCGAGAGGGTTTCTCTTGGAGGTGGACCTCAACGGCCAAGGGAAACTTCTTGGCCGTTGAGGGTGTACCCCTCAACGGCCGAGTTGCACCCTCGACGACCAAGTGAAACCTCTCAGCCTTCAAGGGTGTACACCTCAACGACCGAGAGGGTTTCCTCTTGGTCGTTGAGGATGTAAACCCTCAACGGCCAAGAGTGTACCTCCCGGTTGTTGAGGGTATACACTCTTGACGACCAGGAGAATTCCTCCCGGCCGCGGAGAGCGCTCTCTCAACGGCCAGGAGAATTTCTCTCAGTCGTTGAGAATGTAAACCCTTGACGGCCGGGAGGAATCCTCTCGGCCGTCGAGAGTGTATACTCTCAACAGCCGGGAGGTACATTCTTGGCCGTTGAGGGTTTACATCCTCAATGACCAAGAGAAATTCTCCCGGCCATCAAGAGAGCACTCTCCGTCCTGGCCGCTTTTTTTTTTTTTTTTATCACCAACCCCCCAAAACCACTTGGTTTTGGGGCATCCACACCCAACCCCTCCGGGGTTTTTCTTTTTTTTTATTTGAATTGTTTTGGGAGGCCAACTCCCAAACCCATGGATGGATTTGGGGAACCGACTCCCAAATTTCAGGGAAAC